GCTCGCCTTCTAGACCTTCATTGAACAAGCGGAAAAATGCCGAGATCAAAATATAAAACAAAATATAAAACAAGATATATAACAAATCAATAAAACTAACTTAATCTTTTTCATTTCTGTAATCACTTGAAGCTTTCAAAGCAAAATTTGTAATATATATTTTTTTAACATTTTTCATTTAAAAATTATAATTATTAATAATCTACAAATTGATATTATTATACTTTTTGTCAGGTATAATGATACTATTCTTTTTGTAAATGTATAATATATTTGCAGAGTTTGAAAATATATATATTAGTTCAACATCTTACTACTCAGACCGTAGTCGTGCTTCGGATTTTAAAGTTTTTTAAGTTTCAATTTTTGTAGCAAAATCACAACATTTATTTTTGTAGTATTTATATTGTAATATACAATATTGTTTGTATTTGTAAAATTAATTTCAAAAATATGACAAATGAATATTTGGCCATCTTTCTCAATATAGGTATGACCTTCAATGTCTACCAATAACACGTTTGCTAGTACAATATTTATCACGGAATAACGTGTCTTTTGAGTGATCTTATTTCTTTTAAAATATAGCAGCTGGATAAAAAATTTTTTATACATAATTATGCATAAACGATTGTACACAATTTATAACCGTTACAAATAAACTACGTATAAATTAGTCATGTATAACCGTTTATGTATAATTATGTACAAGAATTTTTTTATCGAGCTGCTATATTTTAAGAGATAAGATCATTCGAAAGACATATTATTCCGCGATGAATATTATATCAGCAAACGTGTTATTGATAGTCATTGAAGGTCATGTCTATAATGAGGAAGATATTAAGATAAAGATAAAGTAATGATACATTCATTTGTCATTTTGAAATTAATATTACAATTACAAACAATTTTGTATATTACAATATAAATATTACAAAAACAAATGTCTGAAAATTGCTATAGAAATTAAAATTTCAAAAGTTTTAGATTAGAACAGTTTAAAGTTTAAAGAAGAGAAATTACTTGCGAATAATTGATC